GGCCTTCATCAGGTGAAGGGGGCGAGACTGTCTGGTAGGACAGCGCTGGAGTGAAAGAGCCACGTTCAGATACGGCCTTTAAGCCTCAAATTTCAGCACCACGGATAGCTACGGGCCCCGTTCAGACGGACGAGTTCGTCCATGGCCGGAACAGAGGAGGGGGAGAGAGACAGCTGCGAGGCCCTAGTATGCTCCATATTGTAAAACTATACCATTAACCGTGGTGTGAGAGGTATTAAGAGGCAATGCTGGCGAAAGAGCTGCGGTCTTTAAGCCTCAAATGCTGAAATTTGAGGCTTAAAGGCCGTATCTGAACGTGGCTCTTTCACTCCAGCGCTGTCCTACCAGACAGTCTCGCCCCCTTCACCTGATGAAGAAGGCCGCTTGTGTTGTGGCCGAAACGTCGTGAGAATATTATTGGTGTTATTTTATTTTATCAATTTATTATTTTATTCTCATTCTACGTGGTGGTGACTTTACCGAAAGAACCAAAGAAGAAGAAATAAAGCGTTCGTGACCTGCAAGTGGTGGTGGCTGGACACAGCACGGACGAGAACGAAGCAGGCGATCTGATAGACCGAGTCAGCAATTGTCAATAAACGATTAACATACACGGCTCTTTATCAATTCACTACTTGGATTAACGCCTTGCCTGACCATACCCAGTGTAAGCTCAACAGAGGATGTACTTTCTACGGCAGCTGAAGAAATTCAACCTGCCAAAGACAATGATGGTGGTGCAATTCTATACAGCGATCGTTGAATCCATCCTCACCTCCTCCATAACCGTCTGGTACGCTGCTGCCACTGCCAAGGACAAGAGCAGACTGCAGCGTATCATCCACACTGCTGAGAAGGTGATTGCCTGCAATCTACCAACCCTCGAGGACCTGCACACGACAAGGTCCATGAGGCGAGCGAGGAAGATTGTGGCCGATTTCTCCCACCCTGGACACTCTCTGTTTCAGCTACTCCCCTCCGGCAGAAGGCTTCGGTCCATCAGGACCAAAACCTCACGCCATAAAAACAGTTTCTTCCCATCTGCTGCTGGCCTGTTAAACAAGGCCAAGGGCTAACACTGTTTTTAACATTTGATTTACAGAACGACACCTTGCCGATATTAACTATGTTACCCTATTTGTATTTTTTATTTTTAAATTATATCTTAAAGCTATTTTATATTCGATATTTATTAAATTTTATATACTTCAGCCCCTTGGTGTTAGACTTTTAACCCTTATTATAGTAAGACTTGTTTAAAACTTATTTAAGATTTTAGATTCCTATATGTTGAATGTATGCACCATCCTGCCAAAGTAAATTCCGTGTCGGTGTGAACTTACATGGCGAATAAAACCCTTTCTGATTCTGATTCTGAAGGGGGTTACCAAGACCCGTTCAGTTATCGCTCTCGCCACCAATGTTAGCCGTGACCTTCAAATCAACCGCAGGTTGCTGAATTCATCCCTGGGCCAAACGCTTCAAGCTTAGTACAAACAATTCATGAATAAAGTTCACAATAAGAGAAGTAGCTATCGACTTCGTGACAGGTTTCAGATCGCTAACGATCCCCCGGCACGTATTGTAATTGCCCCCTGGGCTCGTGGCTATGGAGAGAAGCGATTTTGTTTGTGGTTAGCTTGAGCCTCCTAAACCGGTTCTGTGAGCAAACAGGGACTGATTTTAACTTATAAACTGTTCCCCTGAGAGAAACCCAAGTAAAATGTCTCCATGACTATTACTTAATTACATTCACAAAAACAAGCATCTCACCCTCACCAGAAACGTCGCTGTTGGGGGTGAAAACCTCAAGGCCTTTCCAGGGAGACAAATACATTTTTTCACATTTTTAACGTTATGGCAAAACGCCCAATTCTAGCAAAAAGGAAATAGCACACTCCCCCAACACTGCAGGATGGGGCCATTACATTGTAAAACAAACTGCCGCTCTAGAGCATCTACGTGCCAAACTAAGCAGGAGGGAGGAAGATTACTTCATGGGACCTCCTTTGCCATGTTGTGTTAGAGCAGAGGACGCCAAAAGGCGTTCTCTGGTCTAACACCGTTTTGAGATGAGGCTCAAAAGAAAGCTGTCTCTGGTGTGGACCAATCAGTTTCAAAGACAATGCATATATTATAAGAGGATGTTTTTTGTTTACATTCTGACCACAAGCATTGTGGTTAAAGCAGACATGGTTCCATGTTAAAGGTTTCAGTTTGGTGTTTTAACATTCTAACACAGCTGTTTTGTTGCCAGAAAAAGGGGAAAACCTATTCTCATTACAGGAAGATTACCACTAAACACGGAACGCCTTCACTACCTCTCCAGTGGCCATTAATTCTTAAGAGCATTCATGGGGTATTCAGGCACTGCCCCCCTCCCCTACCTTTGGTTTTCCGACAGGGGTCTCCGAGCTTAGGAAGACACCAGGGGGTTGTAGAGTTTATTGAAATAGTTTATTGAAACATGCGGTTTAGACAAGTTTTCATTGCACTGTAATCCGTGTTTATGTTGGTGTCAACCCCCTTTCATATACTCTGTTGTGTACCTGAAAATCGGAGGACCCGGAGAAAAATTCCAAATATACAGCAAGCGTCAGGGTCGGGATCGAACCCACGACCTCCTGTAAACCACGCGAGGTAGTTAACTTCTCCTAGCCAGCCGTGGCACCCTACAATTACGCGTGGTATTCAAGTCTGTGGCAACATATGCCAAGGGCAAACAAAGGAGCAGCCTGTTAATGAACGTCATCTCAAGCGTGCTCTACCATTGGCTGCCACCATTCCATCATGAATCTTGACAACCATGTTTTAGTGACTTGTCCTGCCCAAGACAACGTACGTATTTTTCATGGCATTGTCTACGCCATCACACCAATTGAAAAAGAAGCCACCTACATCACCAGCATCAAAATAGGGAAGCTGCACATCACCAAACGTGTCCAAAGCCCCTAATTCAACATGGCCAAAGCCTGGGCTGCCAAGTGCACCAATCCCAGCACTATACGTTGGTGACCTTAACACCCACCATAAAATGTGGGGCTGTGCAGTAGGTCAGTCCGACGGTAAAGACCTCACTGACTGGATGTCCGCCGAATATCTGCACGTAATTTTCGAGCAAAGTGGGAGGCACACTTCACGCATCCGGAAAAAAATACTTCCACACTGCTCCAAAGGTCAATACAGGCCCATCATCACCCACATTGGTGATGGTACATTTTTGTTTGTGCTGTCATCGCAGATGTCTGACCGATGTCATTTCTGGCTCTGTGCTTTCAAGAGAGCACATTACCTGGTTATTGTTCTCGAGATCACCGATAGTTTCAGCTAGACTCGCCTTCGGAAGCTAGCTGGTTTGTATAGTGTTCATGGGGCAGCGTATAGGGTGTTCACGGTGCTGGTTGACTTTTGTTTTCATGTCAAGTGCTCCATGAACACTCATCTCATCCAAAGAGGTATTGCGATTACGCAACTTCGGCAAACTCTTGCAAGCCGTCTTGCCAAAAGATACAAACTCAACTGTGTTTGAATTCCTGCGCTTAATTATGCAGGTATAAGTTTCATGCCAAGTTTTTATGAGTGGTTATTAAAGTCTTGGCTCAGACCACGGATTCATTTTACTTGAGAAACCCAGTATCATTCTGTACTGCTTTAATTCAAATATTATAATAGAGTAAAACAACCCTAGTAAGTATTAGTGAAACCTATATTCCTATCAAAAACCTTGTTGCCAGTATCAACGTTATAAAAATACATAATAGGTTTAAACCTTGCTAGAAATAAAACAGGTGTTAAGATGTTCAAACACAAAAATAGATAGGCACCTATTGCAAGGCATCATCAAGGCTATTAACCACACACACTTGTGGCAAAACATGCAAAACATACAAACATGCTCTTATAATATACGCATTGTCTTTGAAACTGATTGGGCTACACCAGAGACATCCTTCTTCATGGCCTTGTCTCGCCACCAGTATTAGCCCAGAGAACGCCCCAAGGATAACAGTACAAAGGGAATGCACTTATCAAAGTATCAATAGCTCAAGTTGAGCAATTATATCTATGGGATAGATATCGTAAAGATATCCACGCCACCCACTCAATCAACTACCCACTCTCCCAACTACCCACCTACTCACCCACCCACTCAATCATCCACTCACTCACCTACTCACACACCCACTCACCTATCCACTCAAATACTCACCCACCCAATCACTCCATAACCACTCATCAACTCACCTACTCGCCCACTCACTCACCTACTTATCCACCCATTCACCCAACTACTCACCCACCCACTAATTCACCTATCCATCCACTCACCCACCCAACCACTCACCCACCCACTCATCTACTCACTCAACAACTAACCTACCCACTCACCTATCCACTCTACCAACCACTCATCCACCCACTCACTCACCTATCCATTCACTCACCCACTCACCTACACACCCACTCACCCACCCACTAACCTACTCATCCACCCCCTCACCTACTCATCCACCTACTCACCTACTCACCCACTCACTCACCTATCCAATCACCCACTCAACCACCCCACTCACCCACTCACTCACCTACTCACCGACCCACTCACCTATCCACCCACCCACTCACCTACTAACCCAACCACTCACCCACTCACCTACTCACCCAACCACTCACCCGCCTACTCACTCACTCACCCACTCACTTAACTACTCACCCACCCATTCACTCACCTATCCCTTCACCCACCCACTCACCTACTCACCCAATCACTCACCTACTCACTCGCCCAAACAATCACCCACCCACTCACCAACCCATTCACCCACCCACTCACCCACCCACTTACCTACTCAACCACGCACTCACCTATCCACTCACCCATTCACCCACCCACTCACTCATCTATCCACTCACTCACTTACTCACCCACTTCACCTATGCACCCAGTTTAGATTTTTCACCATCCTCAGGGAGCTTCATTGACTCTGCCTGACCTTCACTCAACGCATGTTTGGTCAGGGTGTGACCGACTGTTCACAAATGTGCACCTCGGAATGTGGCTTTTTTAGGTTCCCGTCATCAACACGTCAATATATAAGCATCGACGAGCTAATGTGGCACTCGGATATAACTCCACACACTCGCAAGATTCGTAAAGCGCTGCGACGCGTCCTCTCGTAGCTTAGACCCGACGTCATTGTTGTAAGTCAGTAGCTAGGCACGGTTGGTGAATCTGCCAGACTTCCGAGTCAAGTCAACTCACAACACCTGGGGTCTGTCGCGTGACCTCCTGTCGGCGAGCCTTCGACGCTTCACGTGGCCTCAAAGTGCACCTAGCCTGGCACAAGCGCCGTGGTGACATCACCGCTTCTTTAGTGGCGAACGGGTGCTGCTGTTGTTTTCTTCGAAGACCCTTGCCCGCTATAATAAAGACACCGCGTAGGTGGACAACACGAACGCTGAACATTCAAAACATGTTGATGTCTACCAATTTTTTTAAACCTCACAAGGTAAGAGCGACCATGAACCCCCACGCTTTTATATCCATTGCCACTTGCGCGTTTAATTGTCACAGAGTAACGTTAACTATTAGGGAGTGTATTAAGTTACCCGTGGTCGACCGGTGGTATAGTAATTGATGTTGTTGATTGAAGGTAGGCAAGCAAATGTCATTGAGAAACGAGTAACTGGAAATCCGTATGACGTGCCTTTAACCACATGGCATTCATCCAACATTGGTTCAAGCAAGCCTGACTATCCTGATGAGACACTCAATGTCGAAACCGATCCAGAGTTTGCTTGCGTTGAACCAATGCTGCTGGAATTACGCGCTCCCAAAAGGCCGTTTGGCTCGTCGGATGTGTAGAAAGTACTTTTATTTATTATGTAGACGGACAAAAATACGAAGGTGTACTGTCTGCTTCTTTCCTTTGCTGATGTAACCTCCGATCAGCACGGTTGACTATGTACGGTGCGAAAGAAGTTCAACATACGTGCATAACAAGTGTCGTGTGTGGTTAATACAGACATGATTCCTTGCGAAAGGTTTCTGTTTTGCGTTTGAACATTTTAACGCCTTCATTTGAAGCTTTTGTGACTGCAGGAATCCATACTCTTTGGTTGTTTCGGTAACGTCACATAGGTATATGTTATACCTAGGTATATTTTATACCTACGTGACGTTACCGAAAGAATGGAAGAGTATTTTAATGCCTGTTTTATTGCCAGAAAGGGGAAAACCAATTTCGATTTAAAGCTTTCGTGACTGCAATGATTAATCTTCTTTGGTTCTTTCGGTAAAGTCACGTACATATTATTATTATTAATACATATTATTGTGTTATTTTATTTTATCAATTTATTATTTTATTCTCATTCTACGTGACTTTACCGAAAGAACCAAAGAAGGGAAAACCTATTGTTATAGCCTTTGAGGAAGTCCGCTGTATTTACTGTGTTGAACTTGGCACGTAGCCAAACGGGCTAATCGGAGGTGCGGGGAAAGGACAGCAAACGAAACATGAACAGCAGTTATAAAGATATTAGTTTTCAATTTAGATTTAAAAGTGCAGTGGCACTGAGGCGAAAGAGTGATCAAAGATACCACGTGGATTAATATAGAGGGGCCGTCCATAAATGACGTCACGCGATTTTGGACGATTTTTGACCCCCCCTCGTCACACGGCGTCACAAAAAGTCAGACCCCCCTCAAATATGACGTCACAAAGCTCTACCACCGCCCCCCCCCAAACCATATTTCCATTTTGGAAAAAAAAAACATGCTTCAAATCACTTTAAACTATTGTCATTGCAGTGCGTATTTAATGTGGCGCTGCACTCTGATGTTGTAGGTAGAAAACATTTATTAAAAAGGAGGCGTTGGAAAGCAGAAATTTTCCATAAAATTTAGTTGAAAATATTCAACGTCTAACTAAAACTGCAGATGTTCAGAATATTATATTGAAATTCTCTTATAATGATATATAAAAAGTAATTATGACTATAAAAAAATACTTGAAACTTTATAGTAGAACGAAGCCAAATGTAGAGTACAATTATAACAATCGCATGTTTATTCCACAGAATGAAAAGCCCTGGTAGAATCATTAGACTCAAAATATTTAATAACAATCATAACATTTTTTACAAAATGTATGCTTTTCCATTCTCCCATGAAGAAGCAAAATGCTCCTTCATGGAATAAATAAAAGGTGACCTTAATAAATGTGAATAATCAAACAGTCAATAATGAAAATTAATAAAAATTTGTGTTGTTATAACAGTTCTGTTGAATTAATATGTATTTAAAGTTGCGCATTTTGATGTGACGTCACATTTCTCAAACCCCCCCTCGTCACACATCCTCACAAATGTCTGACCCCACCTCCCCCCCCTCGGTGCGTGACGTCATTTATGGACAGCCCCAGATCGCAGGATCGGGAGATGGCGATTGCTTTTTTGGAGAATTTCATCCAGCAGTGGCTTGATCATTGGCTCATGATATCTTTGGTCTTGTTGGGTAGTCCTAGTTACCGTCACTCAGTCAATGTTGACTCAAAATAAAACTAACAATTTTGTTGACAAGGTATTGTCAGCAAGGAGGAAACAGAGCAGCCAAGCCTAAAAAGCTATTGGCCCAAAGTGCACATAGCCTGGCACAAGCGTGGTAACGTCACCGCCACTCAGTGGTGAATGGCGGTTGTTGTTATTGGCCCCAAGTCACCTCGCTTGCTGTGCCAGACTTACACGGCAAAAACAAACGCTGGACAGGATTAACCCACAGGCTAACGAGGCCTTAGGCTGTGTTGTAGGCCCTCCTGTAAGACTCTCCGTCCCACCGTTTGTATGTTGAATTTCTATCGCACCGTACCAATCCAACCGTCCTGATCGGAGGTAAATTTTTTACCTTGATTCGAATGCCTTTCTTAGTTTACACATTTTCTTCGCCATGTGTAGTCATGCATTCTTAGGGCCTTCCCTCCTACCAGACTTAGGCCCCTCGTAACTTTAATCCCCCGTTGGGTAAAACCGGGGAGCATTAGCTGTGCAGGCGTGTCTCGATTAACGAGCGAGATACATCACGGGACCTTCTTGCCAGTATCAAAATATAAGAATTGGTTTTAACTTTGTTGGTGTTACCATTTCTGCCAATAAAACAGGTGTTAAGATGGTAAAACAACAGAAACCTTTTGGGGCCGTCCATGAATTACGTCACGCACCTGGGGGGAGGGGGGGGATCAGACATTTGTGACGAGCAATGTGACGTCACATCAAAATGCGCAACTTTAAATAAATATAGACAACACGTTCTACTTATATTCTTGGTTCTTTCGGTAAAGTCACGTAGAAGGGAAACAATAAAATAATAAAAACATTAAAAATGAAATTCTCACGACGTTTTGACTGCAACAATCGTCATCCGACACTTTTTTTTTAAATATTCTTACTGTGGTTTTCCCACCTGATGATGATTGCTTGTGTTGCAGTCGAAACGTCGTGAGAATTTAATTGTTTTATATTTTTATTATTTTATTGTTTCCCTTCTACGTGACTTTACCGAAAGAACCAAGAATATGAATCCCTGCAGTCACGAAAGCTTTAAATCAAAACGTTCTACTTAATTAAATAGACTTTTTAATAAATGTTTACTCCTACAACATCAGAGTGCAGCGCCACATTAAATACGCACAACATTGACAATAGTTTAAAGCGATTTGAAGCATGTTTAAAAAAAATGTTGGGGGAGGGGGGGCAGAGCTTTGTGACGTCATATTTGAGGGGGGGCTGACTTTTTGTGACGCCGTGTGACGAGGGAGGGGGAGGGGTCAAAAATCGTCCAAAATCTCGTGACGTAATTTATGGACGACCCCTTTGCAAGGAATCATGTCTGCATTAACGAGGCGTATTTGTGGACATGCAAACAAATATCATGCTCTGGTAATGTATGATGCATTGTCTTTGAATCTGATTGGTCCATATCAAAGACAGCTTTCTTTAGAGCCTCGTCTCAAACAGTGTTAGACCATAGAACGCCAAAAGGCGAACAGCACAAAGACAATGCCACCCTCAGGGCATTTAGAGCTCGGGGTGAGCAGCTACATCGTGCGAAGTATCTTGCCAGTATCGTGTTCACTTCCCGAAAATTGCTCTGTAAGTGAATAAATGTTAAACGATCGTCGTTTTCCCACTGACTTCCGTGTTAAAATGTGAGATATGTTTCAGCCCTAAAATGTTCCAACTTTTGTAACACGAGATATACAAATTACTGTATCATTTTGTAATAAAACATCAATTGTAACACTGACAACCCATGTTAAACCACAGGGCGAGATCCCCCGTAGAGTCTATATCACCTCCTCACTCGCCACTGTCTCCCTCTCTCCGTCTCATCCACACAAACCTCTCCCTCCCCCCTCCAAAGACAAGGATCTCCCATATAGCCTGTAGGGGAAAGTGGTGTTAGCGAGCACCTATGAAGGCCGGCAGGGCAAACGAGGGTGTGGGTGGCCAGCACCACACCCGGCCACCTTTGTCTCCCTAGTGGCGATGTTTACACATCACACCAGGTACTCATTTAAGGCTGAGTCGACCTAGTGGTTGCCCAAGACCGGTTCAGATAATCGTCACGTGGTGGTGTTGCCCGGGAGCGGGAATCGAACTCGGGTCGCCGGGTTCTTAGCGTGGCGCGCTAACCACTACCCTCCCCACACACACGTACACCATAACACACACACACACAGTGTACACACAAACGTGTACACACACACCACAGGTGTACACACACACCACAGGTGTACACACACACCACAGGTGTACACACACACCACAGGTGTACACACACACCAACAGGCTACAATGTTCTAACATTGAGATTTTTTTCCGTTCTTTTATTAGTGCGCCCAGATTGATCAAATTCTACAATGAACGTCCAGACAAAACTCAGCCGAGCAAACAAGCAAAATAATTATCACGCTGGGATTCAGCAGGACGTGATCCAAACAGCAAGTTACAGAAGGCAACTGTTCTTCTACCTTGGCACTCACGGCACTCTTTCCAAGGCACAAGCGTGTGTCATCCAATACAGAATTATCAAGTCAATATGGTGTATTCGGCCATCCTCACAGCTGTGAGTATACGGACAGAATAAACATTTCACTGCTGCTCGAGGCGAACGTCTGGGGCGCCGCGGTGGCGAGATGTTATTTCGTTCGCCTGGATAGCCGGAGCGCGTGGGTTCTACCCCGACCCTGGCGCCTGCTGTATACAGTATTTGGAGTTTGTGTATCCCCCCACTACCCTCCTGGTGGTCCCGTGGATTTTTTTCTGGGACCTCCAGTTTTCCCCTCCATAGAATCAACGTGCGTTTAGATTATTTGGCCACTTTAAATTACCACGCGATAAGCCACTTCGTTGAGCGATCATTTGTGGCCAGGTTGCTCCAGAAAAAGAGCCATATAGGTCAACTAGAGGGAAGTACCCGGCGTTGCCCGGGTCTTAAAAATATTCCAAAACTACTCTTAAAAATCTAACAGCAGTGCGTACTGACTGTGGTGGTACCTGCTATGATTACAGCAGTGCATACTGTGGTGGTACCTGCTATGATTATAGCAGTGCATGCTGTGGTGGTACCTGCTATGATTACAGCAGTGCATACTGTGGTGGTACCTGCTATGATTACAGCAGTGCATACTGTGGTGGTACCTGCTATGATTACAGCAGTGCATACTGACTGTGGTGGAACCTGCTATGATTACAGCAGTGCATACTGTGGTGGTACCTGCTATCACTACAGTAGTACATGCTGACTATATAGCAGTATTTATCGACTGTATAGCACAAAGTACTCACCTGACAGAGTGGCGTGGTGAGGCCTAGTCCCGTGCAGAGCCTCCAGCCTCGCCTAGATTGTCCAGCCGGCCGAGGTGGCACCTTGGCAGGCTGGGGCTGGGCTGCTAACCCTGACCCACCCCCCCCCACAACCACGATCTCCCCGGCCGCTCTGCAGTAATATCTACGGCCTATAGTGGTAGCATCTAGCGACTGTATAGTAGTAATAACTGCACGCATCGGGGTGGGAGGGACATCAATCAGTGAAAAATTAACGTCAGCGTTTAGTGTATTTTATAGAATGTTTAACACGAGAGAAAATGTCCCCCTCACTCCCACTGAAGGCGTGCGACTTGGCATGGGCCGTCCCCCCACCAACGGCGCGTGAGTTGGTATGGCCGTGCACGCGTCATAAATAAATAAATGGAAAGTCCACAAAAATCGCACTAAATCGCTAATTAAACTTATTTAAAGTTGGCGGATGTGAAAAAGGAATAGTGCTTGCTCACCTGGCTATTTATTTTTTACGTAAACCCCACCGTTGGAGAGCCAAGCGCGTGACCACACAGAAACCCACACACAACCCCCGCCAAAATCCCACACGCAATTTTTGACTTTTATATATATACATGGGCCTTACCTGGTAAAATAAAAAGTTGCGTTTTTTTGTTTGAACTTAGGTCATGTGTTTGTTCCCGACCGTCACACCTGCTGTATATTTGGAGTTTGCTTGTCTCTCTCTCTACCCCCATGGTAGTGGCGTGGGTTTTCTCTGGGTCCTCCGGTTGTTCCCCTCCACATTCAGAATCAACGTGCATTTAAATTCTTAGGCCGCAATTAATGTCCACACTATGAGCCACTTTCTTTAACTGTCATCTGTGATAGCGAGGTGGCTTCTTGAAAAGAGCTATACAGCTCAGTGGGCTGTACCTGGTAAAATAAAACGTTTGTAGAAGTAGCAGCCAAATGAGGCAACACGCCCGATAGCACGTTCCCCGTGATGATAAAAAATGTTCGTTACACAGCCACTCAAGCTAATTTCACTCCTCCGTCTCCACGGTGACGGGTGACCTCTCAAGCGCCCGTTCCCCTCCTTTGGCTGCCACTCCATCGTTAGTCTCGACCATCGACCAGCATCCCTTCCACTTTCACACTTTGACCAAACGACGTAACGCATTTGCCTAATGGATTTGTAACGTTGTGGCGTCGACATCAGCAGGCGGGGGAAATGTACGTGTCCATATCTGCGTGCACACTGCACACGTGTGTGTACTGTGTTTAGTGGTTAGTGCGCTGCACGACGAACCCGGCAACCCGGGTTCGATTCCCGCTCATGGTCAACACGAGTAAAGATTATATGAACCGGTCCTGGGCCTCACCTAGGTCAACTAAGCCTCAAATAAGTACCTAGTGTAATTTGTACCATCACCACTAGGGAGACAAAGGCAGCTGGGCGTGGTGCTGGCCACCCACCCCCTCGTGTACTGTTCCGGACTTCATCAGTGTTTGCTAACAGCATTATCCTTAACAGTGTGTTAAGGCTATAACGGGGGATCTTTGTCTTTGAACACGTTTTCCACACCTGGGCAGTGTGCATATGACCAGCTACGATTTGACAAATGAGGGCTTACTACGAATCACTCGGGTGGCATTATATTTTCATCGGCTGCGTAATGCCACATGGAAGCTACCTGATCTGTTGCACCAGATGAAGCTTCCTGTCTTCTAGGCCACATGCATGCCCTCCCTTCTCTATGCTTGCGAAACTTGGACCGCTATAATGGAACATCTGTGCCGGTTATAAACATTCAGGCTGGCCTACCTACGATCCATCCTGGGTTCAACCATGCTGGATTGGCTGGGTCATGTAGCCCGCATACCCAGCTACCACATGCCCAAGCAGCTTCTGTTTAGCCAAATAGAGGGGGCTAAACGGGCACGACACGGGCTAGAGAAGAGATGGACTGAAGGACGCTGCTGGGCAGTTGGAGGCAGTCGCTCTCCAACAACAACGGAGGGCAGAGAAGTGACGCGCACATAGAGCAGAGCGCCAGGCGGCTAAAATGCATCTATTTGGCACAGTATGGGGCACAGCTGGTGCATCTTCCAATCATCTCAGTCAACCCATGGCACCTAGGTCTGGCCCGTGACCTCCTGTCAGCGAGACGTTGACAATTCCCGTGGCCCCAAAGTGCACCTGGCCTGGCACATGCACCATGGTGACGTCACCACCATTTATGTTTATGTCTGCGTGTACGCGTTGTGTGTGCTCTCAAACCAGGCGCTGTGTGTCTTGATTGGAGGAGTGCATACGTCACAAGGATTTTGCAATCGCTCCACGCAATATGAACTGAATGGCCTCTGCTGTGATCAATGTTCTTCTGGTAAGAAATCAAAATAATTTTAGAAACAAAACCGATCATGAATGTTGAACTTCTTTCGCACCATACATAGCCAACCGTGATAAATGGAGGTGGGGGAATCATCAACGCTACAGCACCATTAACTGTGGTACACACCAATGCTTAAGTGGCCAATTTCCAAATTGCATTACTCTCCCTCTCACGCAAAATGTTCTCCCCTTCTTGCATTGTCAGCAAGCATTTTTAGTGAAACCCTTATTAAAAAAAACTTCCTGGCCACGGCCTAATGCTAATGAATGGTAGCCCATCTGACACTCTACCGTCGGCCCTTGATACCTCAAATCTTCTGGGCATCCTCCCCTTCCCCAATGTCTCTTTCTGCATGTTGAAAACCCCCAACATCAACGCATTAACCTCGACAACAAGCTCTAATGTTCATTTTTTAAAATTATTATTGTATTGAGTCTTATGATGCGATTGAATTTAGGTGCTGTGGATATTGACGTTTTTGTTGACTAATGCTAGTTCTCTGTAGGCTCAGATTAACATGGGTACCCTATCTTGAACAATCTTCCATGGGTGTTGAACAGTTTTCACACCGTGTGTAGCCAATCGTTGCTATCCGTCGAGTAGCCTTGCACAGTGTACCAAGTTGTAAAAATGAACAGGAGCTAACAGACGTCATTTTACACGAGTGCTTGTGTTCGCGATTGGGTGACAGGACACTTTCGATCCGCCTGGTGCACCGCGGACAAGCCGACTGACTGCCAGCCGTGCCCTGAGGGCACCTACAACTCGGAGTACAACATCTACCCCAGATGCGAATACTGCACGCGCTGCATTCCAGGTGAATTTACAATAGTTCATCCGAGTTTGACACACGCCATGTTATTAATTTTACAATAGTGTATCATGTGGTTATTAGCAGTGGCGGGCCGTGTATTTTACATCTAGGTCTTCAGTGCGATCCTCCCGCAATTAAACCACCTTCGAATAACCTCACCATGACGCTTGGGTTATAGGCTGTCGTCAATCGACGTAACCACCCCATATTCACAGTGACTGTAACCTTTATCGAGTGGAATGAAGTGATTGAACACGAGGCTCAACACCTATGAGAGTTACAATACACTCATTGCAGGGACATCAATACATGGTGACTGAAACCATCAAGGATGTACCACTATTACACAGTATGACAGGATGCTCCATCACAAATAGACATCGCATAGCCCAAATCAATGTCATTACCAAAGAAACAAGGACAAACTCACAAAAACCAGTCACATTTACTCATACGACCATCAAGCAAGCAAAAATACCTTAAAACACAAATAATACAATCAGGATTCACAGCATTGCCTTTCCCATCCACGTCAAATCCTTTAGACTACTAAGCAGCCATCGTACCGAGGCGTGACATTTATTGCACCCTGATGTGAGTTTTTTATGAGGTGGGGGGGGGCTTATTTCAGACCCCTACTTAACACCTTGTGCCACATGTGCAGCCGTGTCAGAGTGATGGCGGACTTACAATTTTTATAATTTGTGTAAATCTTTCGGTATTCGTGCCCCAAATGAAAATTTGGCCTGTTTGGCTGTGTCCAGTTGGTGGAGCATGCATACCTCTAATTGACATTTGACCAGCTCAATCTAGCCCAATAAATTAATTATTAATCTTAAAACTTACACTCTATGCTTTAAGAAAAATGCCTGTGTCGTTTGTAGCGTTTCGCCAGGTGAAGAAAGAGGGCTGCACACGTACTCGGAACGCAAGGTACGTATCATCATCATCTTCTTATATATAAAAGTTTATGGGCACGCGCGCTTGCGAGGAATTTGGCTCTCGAACGGTGGGGTACATGTCTAAAAAAATTTGCCAGGCAGCACGCAGTAAGCCCCGTGCTTGGCATAGGTTATTTTTTCACGTCCGTCATCTTTAAATTAGTTGCATTAGCGATGCAGTGTGATTCCGCTTTATTTATTTATTTATTGCGCGACATCGGCCGTACCAACTCACGCCATTTGGGTGGGGGGGGACGGTGGACCATACCAAGTGATGGGCGTTCGGTCCAGCTCACGGGGGACATTTTCTTTTACGCGTTTAACACCCAATTACCAAAACACACAACGCCGCGGCTATTTCTTAACAGTGTGATGTCCTCTTCGCCCCCCCAACACGATGCGTGCAGTTAATACTGCAGAGTCTAGATAGTAATATTATAGCATTATTGTTGCACGGGGCGGGGGGATTGTGGTGGGGGTGGGGGGGGTAGTGGCCCAGCTCCCAGCCTGGCAATATGCCACCTCCACCGGCGCGGCAATGTAGGCCAGGACGGGGGCTCCGCACGGGACTGGGCCTAACCACGGCTATGGTGAGCGCAACATTCCTTGCTTTGTACGCAACAATCACGTGTGTACAAAACTGTTGCTTTTATTCATCACCTTGGAAATATTCTATTATAGTTTTTTGTTCGTAACTTGCCCATTACTTGCATCTTTATTATTGTGTCAACTCGCGTTCAAATACACCTCTTTATGCAAATATCACCTCCCTATTATTGCATTACTTATCTTCACTTACAGCTTTCGTGACTGCATGATTTCATATTCGTTTGCCTCTTTCTCTTACGTCACGTAGCTACAAACATTTTCACACAGTTTGCATTTGTCACAATGCCATACACACCATACAAATCGTACACCTAATATTTTTGGCTTATATCTTTGGCCATTACTTTCATCTTTATTATTTTGTCAACTCACCTTCAAATACACCTATTTTGGAAAATATCACCTTCCTATTATTGCATTACTTATCTTCACTTACGGCTTTCGTCACTGCAGGATTTCATATTCTTTGCCGCCTGGGTAAAACTACATGGTCGTGAGTCGGAGACATTCCCTCTACACCTTCGGGTGCGACAGGGATGTCCTCTGGCTCCCACATTATTTTACATCTATTTTTACCACGTACTTCGTGAAGCCTTCAATCTGCTACAGATACAATGGGAGGCTGATCGATGCCCGGATGCGGTCAAGGGATGTTATGTATGCCCATGATATGTTAATTGCTGCTCGCTCAGAGGACGAGTTGGAGGCGCTGCTGCTGAACCAGGAGCTTGCCACTAAGAGGTGGGGCTTTGCCATCAGCCCCACCAAAATTAAGCACCTGCCTGGGTGTTTTGTACCATCGGACACTCCACCCCCACAACTCCCAATTGGTGATGGGCCAGTTGTGGAGAGAGTGGAGAGTTCCCCATACCTGGGCAGAGTGCTCATGACCGGCTCCGGTTTAACAGCAGAGGTCTCACTCCGAATCAGTCCAGCGGCATTATTTTTTCATCGGTTGTGTTACGCTGTGTGCAAGCTACCTGGTCTGTCGCTCCACACGAAGCTTCAGGTCTTTTCGGCCACAGTCATTCCCGCCCTTCTCTACGCATGCGAAACGTGGATCTCCCTAATGGAACATCTTCACTAGTTACAAACATTTAGGCTGGGCTGCTTACGATCCATCCGGTGTCTAACCACGCTGGATTGTGAGGAGCTCACAAATCCTTTAAAGATGTGGACAAAGTCTCATCGGTGAGCTCCTCCGGCAGGCTAGGCTGCGTTGGTTGGCCCATGTAGCCCGCATGCCCAGCCACCGCATGCTGAAACAGCTTTTGTTCGACCGGATCGTGGGGGCTAAACGGGCGCAGCACGGGCTAGACAAGAGATGGAGTGATGTGCTACAGGAGGATGTGCAGCTGAGTGGACTTGCCAATGACTGCTACCAGTAGTCTCAAGATCGGCCTCTGTGGAGGAGGCTCGTGAAGCACGCTACTGGCCAGTTGGAGGCAGTCGTCCTTCATCAACAACAGGGGGCGGAGGAGTGACGCTCACAACGAGCGAAGCGCCGGGTAGTTAAAGCACAGCAAGTTGGCACAGTAGGGGGCACAGGTGGTGCATCAACCAGTCGTCTCAGTCGACCTGTGGCATCTGGGTCTGCCCCGTCACCTCCTGCCAGCGGGCGTTCGACACTTCACCTGGCCTCAAGGTGCACATAACCTACCACAAAGCATCGTGTTGACATCACCGCCACTTCGTGCTGAATGGCGGTTCTTGTTTTTGTATGGTATTGTGTGATATTTTTTACACTTTTCATTATTTTTCTATCTGCGTGACTTTACCGAAAGATACAATCAATGTACATTAATCATGTATGTTTGCAGACAACTAATTCTTGTATTCCATGCTTCGTTTGCTCATCTCTTGTACACAGAAACCTGGTATTTTTATTATCACCTTCAAAATATTCACGTATTTCCGTCTGTGTGCTCACAACTATTATTTGATTATTAACTTGGTCTGCATTAATTTCTTTGGTGTCAAATCACCTTCATAGCAACCTATTTTTTCAATAATCACCTTGCTAATATTACAATCATAATGTTTGTGTGCTGACATATTTCTGTTCCTTGCTTCTTCCACTAAACTCATGTTTATAGAAAGTGTGTGTAAGTCGATGTGTGTCTGTCTTTTTCACCCGGGCAACGCCAGGTACTTACCGCTAGTAAATTCTAATTTTGTGAGAACATATATGTGCATGTATGTGTGTGAGCACGCGTTTTTGTGTGTGTGTAGCTATAATATGCCATGCCGCACTTAATAGGTGCTCGCTAATAGTCTATACATGCCATCTTATCGGCTTACGCAGTCTATAGTAGTATCCAAGCCGTTCGGCACTCATGCCCCCTGGTTGTGTCTCTTTAACTCGCCACAGGTGTGGCTGTGAGAAGGACAAGAACATCTCGAAATTTGCAAAGCAGGGAACCTTGTTCTGGTGCTGTCCAAAATGCCCAGCGGGCATGGAGACTCTGAACGAATGTGAGAAACCAATCTTCATCACCGTCCTCATCGGTTCACCATAAAAGCACGCACATGTCACGAATGTGGTACAAGCACAATACTGGAATCTCCCCCCCACCCCCCCCCCCCCCCCCGCTAAACGTAATGAATGCGTTCCTTGGAAATGCTACTGAACTCAAAATTATTTCATAAGGCAAACTATAATTTCCCATGTTACAATCAGGGGTCGCGTTCCTAGCCGACATGTCTGAGGAAAAAATGCGTGATTACATATATTATAAGTTTTCCAAATTTAAACTAATAATAAATACAAATAATTAGACAAAACATGATTGAATATCTTGCTGATCAAGGTGTCTTGGGTGATCAGTGGTGTGGAGTTATGCAGACAAAGGGGCCTCTTCGCCGTGATTTTTCTTGAGGTCTTCAAACGTTAAGTATTTTCCTGGATGTTCAACTTATGAATAAGCACACTATGCTGACTTTGATCTTCAATCCCAGACACTTAAAAGTCTTTCCATATTTTCTCCAATTCCACATCTGCTCCGAGTTATACCGGTAGACCTCGTAGACCTGGCCACAAATGATATCCCAATCATGTGGCTTATCATGTGGAAATTTACAACAGCCTCTAAACGCACATTGATTCTAAATGTGGAGGGAAAAACTGAAGGACCCGGAGAAAAATCCACTCAACCATGGGAAGAACATGCAAACTCCAAATATACAGCGGGCACCAGGGTCAGGATCGAATCCACAACCTCCTGTGTACCGGGCGAGGTAGTTAATGTTGAGTTTTCATTTATGATAGCCAGGTCACTTCTGAAAAACAGCTATATTGTAGCTCAGTGGGCCTTACCTGGTAAAATAAAATGTAGAGACGATGGTCTGAGTTAAAAGCGTCTCATCTCTCTACCCACCCTCCAGGTTCCTTTACGGATTTCGTCACCACGTGCAGCCCCTGTCCTCCAGGCACGTTTAGTGACCATCCCGGGTCCCGCTGCCGAAACTGCACACGGTGGGTTCAATGCAGAACACTTTGCGACGTCTCCTTTTCCCCAGTGCTAACCGCACGCCTTGGTAAAAATGTGAAAGGTGGACGAACGGAGTCACCCGTAAAACGACTTTGGTTGGGGAACTGCACCACCTCTGTCACTCTCCGTGGTCACAGATTGCAGCTAAGAATTCAAAATCGCCCTCGAGATGTCACCGCCACTTCGTGGTGACGGTGAAATTATCTTACACGTCTTCTGAAACTGTTGGGCGTGCGCGTGTGTCTGTGTCTTTGTGAAGCTGTGAACGAGTGCAGTCTCCGTGTACGAACGCCAGCGACGCCGTCTGCAGCGGTATGATGATTCTACGTGCACACGGCAGTGGTTTAATAACAAAAGGGGGATGATGTACATGTTCTTCATCGATATTTCTCCGGGTGTTCTTAATCAATGTGTGTGTGTATTATTCACTGAGTCTTCAAACGTTGAGCATTTTGCTGGATGTTCAACTTACGAATCAGCACGCTATGCTGACTTTGATATTCAATCCCAGAAACTTATAAGTTTTTCCATATTTTCTACAATTCCACATCTTTTCCGAGTTATGCCGGTAGACCTCGTCGACCTGGCCACAAATGATATCCCAATTAAGTGGCTTATCACGTGGAAATTTACAGCAGCCAAATGCTATAAACGCACGTTGAATCCATAAGTGGAGGGGAAAACCGGAGGACCCAGAGTAACATCCACTCGAGCATGGGGAGAACATGCAAACTCCAAATATACAGCAGGCATCAGGGTCGGGATCGAACCCAGGACCTCCTGTATACGAGGTGAAATCGTGAATGCTGAGATTCAATTTGTGATAGCCAGGTCACTTCTGAAAATCAGCTACATAATAGCTCATCTGGTAAAATAAAAAAAAACATTTGTTTAGTTTATAGACCAGGGGTCGGGAACCTTTTTGACTAAGAGAGCCATGAAAGCAAAAAATGTGGAAATTTATTTCAGTGAGAGCCATATAATATATTTTAAAAGTGAATTCAACTAAATGTCAGTATAATAAGCCTCTGAATTTATTCTTTTAAATAATGTTGTTATAACACTCACCATTAATGCGACTTCTGGTGCTGCATGGATTTGCTGATGTCTTTGTAGTCGGGTTGGTACTTGGTGAGGTTAAGCTTCATGCAAGCGTTGAGGCTTTCATCCGTTAAACGTGATCGTAGGTTGGACTTGATGTTTTTAAGATGTGAGAATGACTGCTCACATGCATACGTAGATCCAAACATGGTCAATACAGCAATACTCACACGCTGCAGTGTGTGGTATGTGACAGGAAGCGCGTTCCAAGTTTTGAGAATCAGCTGGTCTTCGGGTTGGAGTTTTTTCATTTCTGTCCACATGTGCTTGCTCGCCAACTCCGCTTTCTGTCGTGTGATTCTTTCCAAATCTTCATTCAGTGACTTGAACTTATTCACCCACATGTCTGAGGCCTTCAGGTCAGCCACTTCTGCTTCAAAATCTCTGACGGAGACACCAGGGATGTAATTCAGGTCGGCTGTGTTCAGTGAACACTCGTTTGGATGGGTGATGAACTTAAAAAGACGAGTGTGCTCACGAAATTCTCCAAAGCGTGCTTTGAAGGACTGTAGGAGACTGGATGTGCAGCCAGCTAGCTGGTGGAGATCAAGGTTTTGAATGGGCTCACTTGCTGTGCATGCATCTTTAAATTGGCTCAGTTTTTCAAAATGTAGTAAACGACCTGTTTCAAGATCCGTGATGAAAAGCTCCAGCTTGTTTTCAAAAGCAAATACAGCTTGTTGAAGGGATAACACTGTATTTCCAATGCCTTGCATTTTCACGTTGAGCTGGTTCAGATGTTCAGTCAGATCTACGAGATAGTAAAACTTGAGGAGCCACTCGGTGTCGGCTAGCTCAGGATGCCCGACGCCTTTCATTTCAAGGAAAGTCCGGATTTCGTTCAGGCAAGCCGCAAAACGGCTAAGCACCTTCCCTCTTGACAACCAACGCACATTGCTGTGCAAAAGCAGACCAGGATAGTTATTTACAACTTCATCCAGCAGTGTTTTAAACTGGCGATCATTTAAGGCTCGGGCAACAATAAAATTGATCACACGAATGACCAGCGACATCACTTCGCCAAACTGCCTGTCACACATCTGAGCACAAAGTGCCTCCTGGTGTATAATGCAATGGAAACTTAGGATGGGTCTATTTTCATGTTCACAGAGAAGCGCCACAAATGCTTTGTTTTTCCCCACCATACACGGAGCACCATCAGTACACACTGAGAGAAGTTTATCCATAGGTAGACTTTTTTCTTGAGCAAACTCCATGAAAGACTTGAAAAAATCCTCACCTCTTGTGGACCCTTTTAATAGCAGAACAGCAAGACTTTCTTCGCGCAGTGTGTCACCAACAGCATATCTTGCAATCACGCTGAACTGTGACAAATGGCTCACGTCTGTTGACTCATCCAAAGCCAGAGAAAAGAACGGCGCTGCATTTATGTCCTTCACTTGCGTTTCCTCCACTTTGTTTGCCATCACGATGGTACGATCATGAACAGTTCTTGCCGACAGAGGCATGTCTTGTGTCCGTTTGATTATCTTGTCTTTGTTCGGAAGATCATCAAAAAGTTAATTGGCTACATCCAGCATGAACGTTTTAGCATACTCGCCATCTGTGAATGGTTTTCCGTTCCTCACTATTGCTAAAGAACCAGCAAAGCTAGCCGAATTATAGTCACCTTGCCGGGTCCATACGCGGAGTTGCTGCTGGCTAGCTTGCACCCTGCTCAGAAGCTCTTGGCACGCTTTCTTTCTGCTGTCTCCCGCAGGGTATTTTGATGCAAAGGTAGCGTGGCGCGTGTCGAAGTGCCGCTTTACATTCGACCGTTTCAACGATGTAATTTTGTCATTGCAAATTAGACACACCGCAGAACCCGCTCTCTCCACAAAGGCGAATTCTTCGGTCCATTCGTCCTGAAATGTACGATACTCGTCGTCTTTTTTTCTTTTCGCCATCTTCTTCGTCGAAGGGTTAGCTTTGAGCTAATGACCGAGCAGACGCAGTCTCAGACTGATTCAAAAGGGGGCGTTTACCTGTTTTACCCAGCAATGGCAAACGTAGGCCAGTATCATCCAATTAAAATAATGGACAATTGCTCCTGCAGCCCTGAACAGGACATGCGCAGTGAAAAATCGATGGATGGATTAAAACAAGTGAGAATATTTTGTTTTATCTGCGAGCCATATGCAATCATCAAAAGAGCCACATCTGGCTCGCGAGCCATAGGTTCCCGACCCCTGTTATAGACGATGGTCTGAGTTAACACCGTCTTACCCCTCTCCCCACCCTTCAGGTTTCTCAAAGGTCACCAAGTGCACCGAATGTCCTCCAGGCACGTTTCGTGACCGTTCCGGGTCCCCCTGCAAAAATTGCACACGGTGGGTCCAGTGCAGGACACTTTGCGACGCCTCCCGTTCCCCCGTGCTAACCGCACGCCGTGGTAAGAATGTGAAAGGTTGACTGACGGAGTCACCCGTAAAACGACTTTTGGTTGGGGGTCTGCACCACCTCTGCCACTCTCCGTGGTCACAGATTGCGGCGAAGAATTCAAAGTCGCCCTGGAGATGTCAACTGACGGTGAAATTATCTTACACGTCTTCTGAAACTGTTGGCCGTGCGTGTGTGTCTGTGTCTTTGTGAAGCTGTGAACGAGAGCTGTCTCCGTGTACGAACGCCAGCGACGCCGTCTGCAGCGGTACGATGATTCTACATTCACACGGCAGTGGTTTAGTAACAACAAGTGATGATGTACATGTTCTTCATCGGTACTTCTCCGGGTGTACTTAATTAATGTGTGTGTGTGTGGTTAACCAGGCCCAGATGTATCTGCAAATGGCAAAGCACATGCAGCGATAGCTGCAGGAGCAGCAGTGAGTCTCTCCCTCTGGGTTGCTGTGCTGATGGTGCTGATGTTGCTGCATTCCCGTCGTGCTTCCGTTCAACACAAGGATGCCCCTCTGAGCGACGTCAGTGCCATGGATAATTTTTCCACCCAAGGCTCCTTAGCAACCCTGCAACGCCCAGACGAAGTTCAGTCAATGCTGAATGCTTGCAATGACATCGAATAAATCGTCGTGTGAGTGTGTGTACAGTGGAAATGAATCTGAGACAAACGGATATCAGCCCTGTTGTCAGACCCCTCCGAGTCTTTATAAAGGCCTCAATACCTGAGGGCTGTTAAGAGGCGTGAACACTGAGATACATCTGGCTTCATGATAGAGCTTCTCTACAGTTCTTGTAAGGTTATCATCAGCTAACACAATACGCATTAGCATTGTTGTGGAGAATATAAGTAACAAATAGATAAGCACACGAAATAATATCCTTTACAATTTTTTTCCCTGCAGATAAATACGTGAGCATTTTTGTTTATATGTCCTATCAGCCGCACGGCCTTCTGGGTTTGCTTAACTTCAGCAGCATTGGTTCAATACGAGACAACTCTGGACAGGGTTTTTGACTTTCAACTTGGACAGACTCATTGGGTCAAGTTCACCTTCAACACACACACAACACACACGCGCGCATAACCCAGTCCATTACCTGCCTCTGTGAGCCAAGACATCGGCGATCGTGACCTTCCTTCCATTTAGCTCTGCCCATGACATTTATACTCAAGAACTTTGCAAGACATTCTCCCAGATGCATTCCAAATTATTCACATATCTTGCGCAACGTTCCCGGATGCCTTCCACGGCTTCTTGGTGGTGCCTGTAACGTCCCCAGTCAAAATATGTCTTCGTTTTTTTAATAAAATGTCCATGAAATCGAACGTTCCTTTCCCATCTTGTCTGTCCGCAATCTCTTTTCCTTCTAAAAAAAATACATTTCTGTTGCTTTTGGTTCAATTTGTGGTGTCTCCTTTTACATCCATAAAGAAGCACTGGACGATACGTAGCACTGCAATATTCTGATTATTGTCATTAATAACCTTATTTTTCAATATAGATCCCATTTTTCTGATTAAACAGTATGTGTGTATGTATTTCATTTACCTACACAAAGCGTTTATTCAGGAACAAATTCCTCAAATCTTAAATGCGGCACAACACTAACGTACACTGTACCGAGGACCAAACACACATAGACTCACAATGAGACCCTTAGACTCACACAGAGACGCTTAGACTCACACAGAGACGCTTAGACTCACACAGAGACTCATAGACTCGCAGAGAGACCCATAGATTCGCATAGGCTCGCATAGGGACCTATATACTCACATCGACTCTCGACCTTGACTGACAGACTCATTTACTCACACGCAGACCCAGCCTTGTAGATATACCTATACACTTACACAGAGACCCATAGACTCACAGAGCGACTCACGCAGAGATACATAGACTCAGACAGAGAACCATAGACTCACTCAGAGACCCATAGACTCACTCAGAGACCCATAGACTCACTCAGAAACCCATAGACTCACTCAGAGACCCATAGACTCACACAGAGACCCATAGACTCACTCATAGGCCCAAGGACTCACGCAGATACCCTTGGACGCACGGAAACTCACACAGCGACTCATAGACTCACATGGAGACCCCTAGACTCGCACAGAGAATCAAACTCAGTGTAAACTGTGAGCATTTTTCTATATTAAAGCCACAAACATCTGGAATTCCATCTCTTCAAAAATCTCCACGGTTACTCTCCCATCGAAATCACTATTTGATGCGAAGCTGTCAATTCTTTCTCACGTCATTTGCATTTAACACCACATATCCTTGTCTTTACATATTAACACGATCATAATGGTGTTTTTATAGTCTCATTTAGAATGTTGTCCTGTAATCGATTTAGAAGGAATCTTCCTGAACCGATATGTGCTTCAGGGAATTTACGTTTTAACTTTTGCTTAATATTTATTTTAACTTGCAATATACGTGATTCTTCACGTGATAGTTGTTTTTGTCTTGATAACTTTGTTGATGTACTACAATCGAGCCTGTAAAACATGATTGTAGCTCTGAATTTAAATCCTCTTAGGCAAAGACAAGATTGTAACGCTATTTAACGTGATGGGGGAATTCTGCACGACAGTAAACATATAAGGGAATTTGCCAGAACCATTATCTTCTTCTTTGGTTCTTTCGGTAAAGTCACGTAGAATGGGAATAAAATAATAAATTGATAAAATAAAATAACACAATAATATTCTCACGACGTTTCGGAGGACAGCGCTGTCCTCCAGACAGTCTCGTCCCCTTCACCTGATGAAGGCCGCTTGTGTTGTGGCCGAAACGTCGTGAGAATATTATTGTGTTATTTTATTTTATCAATGTATTATTTTATTCTCATTCTACCTGACTTTACCGAAAGAACCAAATAAGATGAATCCTTGCAGTCACGAAAGCTTTAAATCGAAATTTAACCATTATCTTGTGTAATTAAATCTGGGTGCAATCATTAAATTATATATCACTAGCAGGAAGTAGCCAGCTTTATCCAGGGGAAAAACACACACACATATTTCAAAGCTTGTGCTCTCTTTAAAAAAACCCATAACGTATACACAAATACTAAACAGGTTTTTCCTTAGCCCGTTCTACTGCAGTGCCTGTGCAGTCTCTGGCTTTCCTTGACACACGCTGCTTTGGGGTTTCCTCAGCCTGTGCCTGGAAGGCGCATTCCTTGTTTGCTGTTGAGACAGCCGCTACTCTTCTACCGTTTGTTTTGTGCACCGCGGTGCCACCGCTCTCTTCGTGTTTGTTGTTTTATTTTTGGAATTTTTTTTTTATTTTTCAACAAAATTAATGAGTCGATAAGCAAGCGTGTTTGCCTTGCTAGGGGCAACCGCGAGTCAGAGTTCTGCTCACGTGCAGATGTTTACTTTAGCACGCGGCTCTAATGTATCATTACGACGATCAGCAGACATTGTACAAGTTTGATGTTACTAGCTTAGATTTAAGACATCGATATTACTGTAAAAACAATCACAGTATTTTATAAGTTTTGGTTGGTATTACAATCCAATGAATACTTTGGTTGGAATTTTAAGGTGAATTATCATACAAATCAACGCATTGTATATATGTCCAACGCATTGCGCATGTATTACTCCGTGTAACCATTAAAGTCTATTACTGGCTGATATGTGTCTAACTTGTTCTACTTCAATGCTAATACAGTACATTACTACACTCTATTGGGATGCTGGCATGGTGTAGTCGTTAACGATTTGAGCTTTCAAATCGGAGGTTGCTGGTTCGATTTTCGTCTCCCGGTGCGGCACTTGATTTATGAGATAGTTTCTTACATGTGTGTATATATGTAGGCGATGACTGTTTGTCACCCATGTGTAGTGGATTCGGATTAGGTGCACAAACAACTTCTTGGGAGGCAACACTTATTTATTAATGAACACAACAGTTAACTCTTACATTACGCATAGGGTGGTGACCACCGACTTACTCTAGCTAGCACACACTTCTCAGATACTCTAGGGAGGTACAGCCTCCTGTCTTGGCGGGACTAACTCACGCGTCTACCGCTATCCTAGAGTCCTCCGGCTGGGACCTACACACGGATCTCTTCTTGGCGTCTTCACGATGCATCTTCATTCTTGATACGGGCAGCCTCGAACCTCGTGAGGAGGCTTCTTATATGGGCCTCGGTGTGCCCGGACCCCGCCCGCCCTGGCCACGCCTCCCTTCGAGAACCCTCTCGAAGCCCCATACTCTTTGGTTCTATTCGGTAAAGTCACGTAGGTAAAAAATAAAACAACAAAAATCACGACGTTTCGGCCACAACACAAGCGGCCTTCATCAGGTGAAGGGACCAGGCTGTCTCGAGGACACCGGTGGAGTGAAACAGTCACGCTCAGACCGCGACCTTTAAGCTGTGTGCGAGGAAACAAGGTGCCTTGACAAAGGAATTAGCATATAAATTTGCATTTAATTGGCCGACTTAGCCAAAAGGCGTCCTCTGGTCTAACACCGTTTTGAGACGAGGCTCAAAAGAAAGCTGTCTCTGGTGAGGACCAATCAGTTTCAAAGACAATGCATATATTATCAGAGGATGTTTTTGTTTACATTCTGACCACAAGCATTGTGGTTAATGCAGACATGGTTCCATGTTAAAGGTTTCAGTTTGGTGTTTTAACATTCTAACACAGCTGTTTTGTTGCCAGAAAAAGGGGAAAACCTATTCTCATTACAGGAAGATTACCACTAAACATGGAACGCTTTCACTACCTCTCCAGTGGGCATTAATTCTTAAGAGCATTCATGGGGTATTCAGGCACTGCCCCCCTCCCCTACCTTTGGTTTTCCGACAGGAGTCTCAGAGCTTAGGAAGACACCAGGGGGTTGTAGAGTTTATTGAAATAGTTTATTGAAACATGCGGTTTAGACACGTTTTGGTTGCACTGTAATCCGTAATGTGTTTATGTTGGTGTCAACCCCCTTTCATATACTCTGTTGTGTACCTGAATCGTTTTCTTCATAAAATGCTTTTGGATACAAGATGGCGCCGATGATGGCAGCCTCGGCCGGTTGGTGCGCCCTGTTTTGTCCAGTTTTGTCTTGAGAGGGGCTTGCTGTTCAACACACTCGTGCTGGTGAGAGAGGCCTGCTGTTGAGGGGCCTGCTGTTCATCACACCCGTGCTGGTGAGAGAGGCCTGCTGTTCAGCACACCCGTGTTGAGGGGCCTGCTGTTCAGCACACCCGTGCTGGTGAGAGGGGCCTGCTGTTCAGCACACCCGTGTTGAGGGGCCTGCTGTTCAGCACACCCGTGCTGGTGAGAGGGGCCTGCTGTTCAGCACACCCGTGTTGAGGGGCCTGCTGTTCAGCACACCCGTGCTGGTGAGAGGGGCCTGCTGTTGAGGGGCCTGCTGTTCAGCACACCCGTGCTGGTGAGAGAGGCCTGCTGTTCAACACACCCGTGCTGGTGAGAGGGTCCTACTGTTCAGCACACCCGTGCTGGTGAGAGGGGCCTGCTGTTCAACACACCCGTGCTGGTGAGAGGGGCCTGCTGTTCAGCACACCCGTGCTGGTGAGAGGGGCCTGCTGTTCAACACACCCGTGTTGGTGAGAGGGGCCTGCTGTTCAGCACACCCGTGCTGGTGAGAGGGGCCTACTGTTCAGCACACCCGTGCTGGTGAGAGGGGCCTGCTGTTCAGCACACCCGTGCTGGTGAGAGGGGCCTGCTGTTCAGCACACCCGTGCTGGTGAGAGAGGCCTACTGTTCAGCACACCCGTGCTGGTGAAAGAGGCCTGCTGTTCAACACACCCGTGCTGGTGAGAGAGGCCTACTATTCATCACACCCGTGCTGGTGAGAGGGGCGTGCTGTTCATCACACCCGTGTTGGTGAGAGGGGCCTGCTGTTCACCACTCCCATGCTGGTGAGAGGGGCCTACTGTTCAACACACCAGTGCTGGTGAGAGAGTCCTGCTGTTCAGCACACCCGTGCTGGTGCGAAGATGGCGCCGATGATAGTAGCCTCAGCCGGTCGGTGCGCCCTGTTTTGTCTTGTTTTGTCTGTCAATTCAGTGTTTTGCTAAGATTTTCGGAGTTCTCTAACAAGAGACGAACTTTTAAATATCAGGGAAACAACTCCTGTGGATTTAATTCCTACTTTTCTGCTTCCAGCGGCAGAATTAGTAGGCATTCTAGTCAAAACCGCGCTAGGCTTTGCTCAAGCAGCGAAACGCCGCCCAAGGGGTAAACGGTCAAGGGCTCTAGTACGGCTACGCAGACGCGGGATCCGAACAGTGCTTCCGAGCTTTTTCCTCTCCAACGTACGTTCACTGTACAACAAAATT